GTACTATACTATATGAATCTGTTGATATTATCTTCCCCATTAGAGTATGAGCATCTCAAAGGCAGGAAAGTTCTATATTCCAGGTCCTTAACAGGCATGTGATAAATATTTATGGCCCTCAACTGAATGAACATCTCTAACAGTTAAGGGCATGAGAGGAGGTCATAACTGATGGACCTGTTGCCAGAAGTCAAAACTCTGTCACAATATGCTTAAACACAAGACCTTAGAATACTTGTTTCACTGAAGTTGGAGCACTGCTTTGGACAGTGTTTTAAATTCCTCATGAAAAAGGCAGAAGGAACTATGGGCACTCTCACCACCAAGTGCTCTCAAATGAAATCAGTTTGAAGCAGTTTTCATTAAGATGGATTGAATGTGGCATCGTGAGAAACACTTTATCAAATGTAGTGTTTTACTTAGTGATTAACTATATACCAGTTGATGAAGCTCCCCAAATCCTTTGTAATCCCACCACTCCAATAAACATTTAATGAGTATATAAGTTCAAAAAGCCTAGCAGAGGATTTAAACCTTCAATCTTGTTTTTATTTACTCTTGGAACTCAATTTCTCACTTTGAGTGAAGAATGCTGGTGCTTGAGGCTCATCTGTTGCCCTGGTAAAATTAATGTGCCTCCCACAGTTTAAATTAAACATGTGATATTTAAGATGAAAGAAATTTAGTCAGAATGCCACAGTATCGGTCACACTTGCTTTAAAATATGTGAACATCAGCAAACTGCTTTCTTAAAAATGATTCATTCACAAGTTTTAAAAAATAATATTGACAAAGACTTGTTTTAACTTTCAAATGTGAAATCTGAAAAGGAGAAATGACGTTTGATCACTGAATCCTGCAGTATAGTAGTTACCATTGAAAACTGAAATATAGTGATACAGTGTAAATCGTACTTACCTGTGTTAGAACCCTGAGCTCTTATTTGGCCTCTAGTACTTACTACTGATGTGCTTTGATTAAGTTCTGTTGCATTTCTGAGCTTCCTCATCTATACAATAGGAATATTGATATTATATGTCCCTATCTCACTGGTTTGTTGTGGGGTTCAAATAAGATACATATAGGAAAGATGCTCTATAAACCATACAGCACCATATAAATCTGTAGCAGCAGTACTATTTCTATGCGTACACAGTACTCTTTAATTAAAAGGAGATATGTGTGTGTGTGTATGTGTGTAACTTGGCTGATGACCATAATGAATGTATCTGCATAGATTTAAATCTGAAAAATGTATCTATCATGTGGATCAATTTTACTTAAGTTTACAGTAATGTCTTAAACGATGTATAAACTGTTCTTTAACCTGGAAAAGAGAAATGAGGAAAGAAAAAGTTTTGGGCAAGGGGAAAAAGATACAGACAATTTAGCATTCCAAAGAGGTCAAAGGATTTTGGTACGAATCTAATATGAAGCAAAACATTTAATTACATGAACCAATGACTTTCATTTGTTAAAATACCAAGACCCGGGGCGCCTGGGTGGCTCAGTTGGTTAAGCCACTGCCTTCGGCTCAGGTCACGATCCTGGAGTCCCAGGATCGAGCCCCGCATTGGGCTCCCTGCTCAGCAGGGAGTCTGCTTCTCCCTCTGACCCTTCTCCCTCTCATGCTCTCTGTCTCTCATTCTCTCTCTCTCAAATAAATAAAAATAAAATAAAATAAAATAAAATACCAAGACCCTAGTCAAAAGCAAACAATCAATTATTTCATTAGAAATATCCAGAAGCTAATATGCAAGAGTTTATTCTCCTCTGGGGATCATCAAATGCCAGTTTATTATATAAGACACTTAGCAAAAGTTTCTTTGTCTATTATATACTGTATATTTAAACAAGTATCTTCATTTAAAGTTAAAATGTTTAAGGTATACACAGTGTATCTTAGGGTAGCTTTTTAAGTGGGATTTAAAAGACATCTATGCTTATTTTGGGAGCTACAGTTTAAGTCACAAAGGCCCTAACATTTTCCGATTACTTCAACTACTTTCAACCATATTTATGTCCAATAAGTGATTGTTTAAATATAATAACATGGCCATACAATGAGACTCTATAACCATTAGAGTCCTGTTTTAATGAAGTATTCAGTATTATTTACAAAGCATTCTTGCAAAAAAATTTTGACCTGAATATAACAAAGCATGATTTCTTCACTAAGCAAATGTTATGGGGGAAAAAAGAGAGGCAGGAGGAGAGAGTGCTTGTTTAAAGGGATTTAAGAAATTTAACAATCACAGGGCGCTTGGGTGGCTCGGTTAAGTGTCCGACCCTTGATTTAGGCTCAGGTCATGAGCTCAGGGTTATGAGGTCGAGCCCTGTGACAAGCTCCCCGCTCAAAGGGGAGTCTACTTGAGATTCTCTCTCTCCCTCTGCCCCTACCACCATGCCCTCTCTCACTCTCTCTAAAATAAATAAATATTTTTAAAAATCTAACAACCAAATGTAATTTGTGATCCTTGAGTAGACTGTGGTTTCAAAAAAATAGTTAAAAAGACATTTTGGAGACAGCTGGTAAAGTATGAATATGCACTGGATATTAGGTGATATTAGGGAATTACTGTTAATTTTGTTACATGTGATAATGGTATTATGATTATGTAAGAGAATATCATTATTTTTTGGAAAACACATACAGATGTCTTTAGGTGTAAGATATGTAATTTAACAAAAAATATTGAATATAAAAAGGTATCCTAAATATTTTCATGCAGTTTAAGTTTTATTTCAAAAGTGTAACTGCTACAAAGTTAAAAAAAAATCATGTGAAACTTTAATTTTTTTACATTTGTTTTTATATATTTTGAATAATAAATTTTATACTTATTTTCTATTCCAGTCAATGTTTGCCATTTTCAGAGAGGAAATGAAAATTTATCATAAAAAATTTATTCATCAAAATCACAAACCTAAATAAGTATAAAAATGTAAATAATTACATTTCAAATGCTGCTCTTTTATAAATGTGTGGTAGTTAAACTTTTGAAGTTATTAAGGCTTCTATCTCCATTAAAACTTTGGGATGCTTGCATATGAAAGAAGCAAACATGGCAAAATTTATTAGTTATTAAATTTAGGGATAGGGGATTTGGGTGTTTACTGTACTATTCTTTTTACTTTTTCTGTATTAAAAATTGTTTTAATAAAAAATTAAAATATTATAAAATATAATTAAGCAAATGACCAAGCGGGAGGGGAAGAATGAAGCGGGGGAAATCGGAGGGGTAGACGAACCATGAGAGACGATGGACTCTGAAAAACAAACAGGGTTCTAGAGGGGAGGGGGGTGGGAGGATGGGTTAGCCTGGTGGTGGGTATTGAGGAGGGCACATTCTGCATGGAGCACTGGGTGTTGTGCACAAACAATGAATCATGGAACACTTCATCTAAAACTAATGATGTAATGTATGGGGATTAACATAAGAATAAAAAATTTAAAAAAAAAAAGCAAATGACCATGTAATATTAAAAGGTGAAAATAAACTGTTTTAGCAGGATTATAACATGACTCAATAATATTAAGCATACATAAAAGTATTCATCAAAATATATTTAAAAATATGGAAAGAACATGTATCATAAAGTTAACTGTTAATCTGTGTTAGAATATTTTCTTTTTGCTTTTCAGTGTTTTCCATAAACCTATGGAAACTATAAATGTGTATTATTATAAATATTTATTTCTTCAAAAATGACATCCATTTTATATAAATTTAATAGTTAAAAAATAGACTAACACAGCATTTATAATGGGCTATTCCACTATTCTTAGGATAAAGAACAGTTTGTGTTTCTATTCCACTTCATTAAACCCATTCATTGCTCTAAGTTTGATCACTAATTATTGTCAATTTTTAAAATTTGTTTAAAATGAAATTTTCTTTTTAGGTCAGGGTTTAAGATAAACTGGAAACTAGAAATTTCAGAGGCATCCTTGCGCTCTACTCTCAAAAGTCCTTGCCCTCTTTAATTCCAATAACTTGCCCTCTACTCTATCTACACACTATTTCTTCCTTCCCACTCTCTTTTTTTCCTTCATTCATTAAATACATAGAATATTTACCAGGGATGGTACAGTCACTGCCAAAAAGAAAATCGAATCTCTTGAGAAGGCATATATAGAGAGAATGGATAATGATAAGCAATGTGTTAAGTGTAACAGTAAGATGAGCAGAGGGTATCGGTACAAAGTACTAAGGGGTGGATCCAACTGTCAAATAGTGGAAGAGTCAGGGACAATTAAGTCTCAGAGGAAGAGCAGAAGTTAACCAGGTAAAGGGCAGAATGAAGTCATTCCTTATAGCAGAGAAGCATGACCAAAGAGTAAGATTATGGGGAAACACAAACAGTACATCATTGCTAGATTTATTAAGTGTAAGGCAAGGAATGGAAAGAGCTAAAGTTGTGCATATAGGTAGGAGCCAGATTACTGAGGTCTCCACTGCTGGCTCAACATATAAACAGAGTGATTGCATAGAAATTTCTTGCTGAAAATGTACCTTCGGAATTCTTGTTATAAATGCCAATCTACTTTACTTTAAGATCAAAATGCCCATTTCTATATTTTTGTTGTCTAAAGTAACTTTTAAGATAAAAATATTGCAGTTATTAGATATATACTATTAGATGGAATCATTTTGGGAAAAGACTGAAAGGGCATTTAGAAAGAACCTGTCAATCACATAACTGAAAAGAACATACACATGTAGCCTGGTCCCTTCTAAGCATGGCTCCCTTTTTCCCCCTACAAAAAAACTCCTGTTTCAGAGCTTGACAAGGCCATCTACAAGAGCCAGCAATACCCTATTACACTATTGCCCCTCTGAAATGGGCATCTTGGTGATGATTAGGCTGGTAGATGAACCACAAACAAAATCAAGTCTTCAATCTGAAAAAAACAGAAAACATTAAGCATTGCCTGAGGCCTGGTGGTAAACCTATGGGATGCATTTTTTAATCACAAAAGGTAAGATTGCACTTACATCTCGGGCTTTCACATAGAAGGCCTCTTGAAAAGCAGCTTCTAATGAGCCAATAAAAAATACAGGATGGCAGTCACCATATCTATAGGAAAAATTATGTCTATTAATTTAAATACATTTCAAATTTACTTCAAAGTTTCACAAGTCTAATCAGCATCTTTTAAGTAAATGTTGGGATTAATGTCTCTTAACTATAGACCAAACATTAAAACATTTCTTTAAAGGCTTGGGAATGAGCTTCATTAGTTCTTAAAATTCATCTTGGCCTGTAGTGATAATATTAGAATACTGGAATTTTAAGTACATCTAGCAAATGGATTTAATAAGTGCTACAAAACCATGCCATTTATAGGTAGCAATTCCTGGTTATCCACTTTCATAAGATTTTCCTTATAGTAACCTTAACTTTCCATTTTATTAGTTCATTTATTCTGGAAGTCCAACAGAGAGGGAAAAAACTGTAATCTTGCAAAGTTTCCAAATTATATTACATTAGAAAACAGAACTAAAGAGAAATATCACTTACACAAAAATTTAGGGTTAAATACTTAAATCCTCTTAAACAACTTATAAGAATCTCAAATGCATATAAAACATTTTATATTAGCCTCTTAAAAGAAGAAATGTTAATAGTTCCAAAACAAAAATTAAAAGAAAAAATTCACTTACATTTAAAATTTTTAAATTATTTTTTAATTTAATATTCTTTTAAAGGATATTTTGTTTATTCTAGGATATACCAAAAATTAGTATCCTATAACCTAGTCCTTTTGGGAATATAGTCAATATATTAATTAGTGACACATTTATTTTCCTTCAATAAAGATATAGAGATAAGATGATAAATACATCTCTGAAGTGGCATAAATGGCTTACTAGTTATCTGACACTGAATAGTATGTGTTAAACTATCAGGACTACATAAACTGATAAATATATCCTTTGAATACTTTACAGAGAAATTAAAGACAATCTATGATTAAAATTGCTCCAGAAAAATCACAGTAGCATTAAAAGAACATCAATTTTATATAGTTAATGTCCTAACCCTACCTTGAAGAAAACTCTGCTGTAAATTGTAATAAGGCATCTCCTTCATTTTCTGCGTTTTCTGGCACTAAAAAACAAACAAAAGAAAAAACAAAAACAAAAAAAACAAAACAAATAGACACAAAAAACAAACCACATAACATCTAATCCCACATATAAGAAATATATTTAATCAATAAAGAGGAAATAAAATTAAATCTTAGCTTCTGTGATATATTTGAGGAGACATTTTAACTTGACATACATTAGAAGATTTCATCAAACCTTAAAAAAGAACCTTGAAAAAATTCCAAGCTCATAAATTTTGGAAAGCCAACTGACACAGTCCTGCTAAGCATTTCAAGTACGTGCCAGTCATCAATTAGGATTTCAATGTTTTCTTAAAATGACATCTTGTGAATAAATTATATAAAAAGGATCTCAAGTTCTTTCAAAAATCTCATTTATAAGAAAGATGGTCAATTTTAAGTAAATATCACATCTATTTCTGCCCAGTGGAGTTCCCTAATTTCACTGAGTAAATGAGCCATTTACGGATTGATTTTAATGGTAATTTTGAATATAATACTGCTTGTGATTCTACAGTATGTATCTTGTAAAGTTAAAGAGAAGGAGATGGCACATTAGTTTACCTTTTTTTCCTGCCAAAGGTGGTACCACCGAATGGAAAAATAATTATTACTATTCTTAAAACTGATATCTCCACTAAGATGCCGGGAAACAAGTACAGTCACAGAAAATATAGCTATTTGTTTATCAACCTCTAGGTTTAAAGTAAAGAGAAAGAATCATAACTAAATATACGTGAAACATAAGTTATACATTCCCTTGCATTTTTAATGAATTTTACTAAAGCACTGGGAATTGTTGAGCTTAATAAAACCAAAACTCAAGAGGATCTGGTTCTAATGAATAATGTGCCTACTTGCTATATTTTCTCTCTCCAAACCTGGGAAGTCAGTAAGAGATTTTTAAGTTCATTGTTCTTCATAAGTTTCTGCAGTAGGAAGTAGAATTACAGTGCTGGACCCAAAGAGCTATTAATACTCACTCATTGGAGATTTTCTCAGGGCAGATGATGTCATGCCGAATACTTCTCCATCATCCACCCCAAATTCGGAAGCATCTTCAAAGTCATCTCCATCACTATCACTAACCATATGAACATCGGTGCTTTGCTATTTAAGAAAAGTCCTGATTAGTTTTATATTGACTTTAGGAAATCAAATTCCAAAATATAAGTTAAGTAATCACAATAGGACATTAGTATTACAATAGTTCTATTAAGTAAGAAGCCATTTGCTAGAGTAAAGCTTAATATTTTTCATTTTAAGGCTTATATATATTTCTAAACTTGCTGTGATACCCCTAGACTAAAGGCTGGAACCTGAGGGAAAATGAAGGATGCTTACAAACTCAATGAAGACAGGGATTTTTGTCTGTTTTATCCCCAGAACATAGTACACAATTAAGTGCTCAATAAATATTTGCTCAATAAATGAGGAGATGGGTATAATCAGGTCAAAGACAAAGCAAGCTATATGAGTCTTTTAAAAAGCTCACAGTAATCTCCATTTCAAACTTGCCACTTCCTTACTGCAATGGTTCTCAAATTTTTCATTAGTGGAATATGGTACACTATTTTCAGTGTTATTGGAGATACACTATATAAAAGCTCTTTGTAAAGTGCAGGCTATTAAATATGAGATGTGCTTCTATTCAATAAACATTTATTGAGAATTTACTACATGCTGGGCACTGATAAACATGCTCCGTTTATTTTGTTTTCAGCAACATCAGTTGAGATTTAAAGTATTACAATTAAAAACATCGGATTCAAAATATGAACTAGGCTGCTATCTCTAGGTAAGAATGGAATTTCAAAATACTGAGATCTAAAACATCCAAACTGTGAATACTGACAAATATTTATGCCTTGGATGAGAAGGGGGTCCCAGCAAGGTACCTGGCTAAATGCCTGTCTGTCCTATGTTCGATAAATGAAGTCTACACAGACTATTTAATATATGAAATTTCTATCTTTTAAAATATGGCACTATGTCCTTAAGCTGTGAAAATGGGGAAACTATTTGATTCTGGTCTATGCAAAAGAGCCTAACTTAGAGATAAATATTTGCCAGAAAAGCATTAAGAGAAACTTAGAATCAAAGACTTATAAAACTTGGCTAGAGGGATGTTAGAGGTTAGCTAGTCATAAAAATTACAGATTTTAAACTAGAAGGGATTTTATTGATTGATTGATTGATTGATTGATTGATTGATTGATTATTTTTTTTGACAGAGAGAGAGATAGTGAGAGCAGGAACACAAGCAGGGGGAGTGGGAGAGGGAGAAGCAGGCTTCCCGCCGAGCAGGGAGCCCGATGTGGGACTCGATCCCAGGACCCTGGGATCATGACCTGAGCCGAAGGCAGACGCTTAACGACTGAGCCACCCAGGCGCCCAAACTAGAAGGGATTTTAAAGATCTTCTTATCAATGGTTTTCAAACTTCTTTTCACAGGGTTACCTCTCTCCCCTGGCCCCAAGGAAAATATTATGTAAAATTATAGTGCATACAATAGACAAAAGTAAGGCTACTCTGGTTGATGCAGCCAGAGGGCAATGGGGAGTCTAATGCTCCTCCTAGGCTTGGCCTTTTCTTTCTCATATCCCTTTGATAGTTGGGGTACCTCTGAAGGATCTCAGGACACTGTGGAACAATTTTAAAACTACTGACCTAGCAAGTCTAATGGTTCCAAATGAAGAAGCCAAGATATTTACTCCATTTGACTCAGCTTAGCATTTCCTCCTTGGGCATAACCAAGCACTAATGCCCAGAATTGTAACATTCTCCGTCTTATTTGAAAGAAAGTCTTCCTAGTGGTTTGAATAAAGAAGATAATGAACAAATACTTATTGAAGGAGTAAAAATGAATGGTCCTTGTCCTAAGCAGTCTATCTGCTATTCTGACTGCACCACTATTTCTCACAGACACCTTGGTTCTACTTACGATCCTAATCTTACTTTAGTGTTTCACTTTGTAGGGCAAAGATCTCCTGATTTCAGCAATTCAACAGCTTAAAAATTCAAAAACCCCTTCTCATTTCAAAGTAGTAAGGGAGCCTCCTCTACAAAACCACACATCTATTAGGATGACTACTGTGCTTGATTTCCCTGTGTTTCAGGCACACAGATATCTGGAGCATGAAGTTCCCTGAACTTTGAGTCTCAGTTTCTTAAAGGGGTAAAGGTTTAGGATCTAAAAGGTACACTACATACTCTTCTAGGATACTTAGCCAGGTTCACAGGCTAGTGGAAAGAAACAAAGGTCCAGTCTGATGAATCTTGTCACATTCTCTATCAGCTAAGCTACCATCTCAGCCTTCACTTAGTCTTGCCTAACACTCATCTTTCCCTTTAAGAGGCATCAGGTTAAGAAGGGTTGGAGGACATAGAGAAGAAAAAGCCTTGTTCTACATATCATCTTTTCTTCTCACTCCTTTTACCTTATCCACCACATCTAAACTCCTTCTCCTAATCCAGTTTTCCAATCAAATAGTAGCCCCTTTCCATAACAACAGAACTTTATATCATACTGGGATAGTGATTTTAATTTTGTGCCTATGTAACTAACTCATTATTCATTTTGTCTTCATAAAGTGTAGAGTTCCCAAATCTCTTAAAATCCAGAAAGCAAAATCCTACAACAACAACATCTTTAAAGGGAGTTATCTAAAAAGTCAATTTTGTTGAAAAAAGTATATTTCAAATATGAATTATTGAAGTATCTGCAAGAATGAGCTGCTTAATTATGTATAAGGAACTTCCAATCTCTTCACATTTTCTTATCAGCCATCTAACAGGTTAGGAAAAGCTTTTTCTAAAAAATGAGATAAACAATCTTTTTTTCATTAATGTTTGCTGATGAGAATACATAATCTCTTGGTTCAGCCATGGCAGCCCTAAAACTCTTTGAATCCAGAGAAGTTATTTACTCAGAATTTAAAAAACAGCTTAAAAAATTCGTGATTCTATTTTGGCTGTTTATTGGCATTCATTTATTCCCATTATCATTTAACAAACATTTACCAAACCCTAGTAAATGCCACACTGCCTGGACCTATGTGAAAGATAGTCTATATGCTCTTAAAGAACACTATATAATATATACAGTTAATTGTAATACCTAGTGATAAGTGTTATGACAGGTTAAGTTCAGAGGAGAACATTTAATGCACGAGGAATGGGAAAAATCAGAGCAAACTTCCTAGAGGAGAAAGAACCAAACTGTTTGAGACAAAATTTAGACTCATATATACTCGGCACTAAGGCAAGCTTAAAACTGAAGTAGATGTTCTTTTCATCAACTACTTATATCAAAGCAACAGGTTAAAAGCTAGGGATACAGAGATAGATAAAACATGGTTCAGGCCCTCAAGAAATTCTAAAGGAAGACATAAAAATATACTTATTTGAATAGTCAAAAGGAAAGGGTTATAAAAATCCAATGTATCAGTTCATTTGGGACAGTTTCAAAGAATAGCAGGTCCTTCAGTGATTAGAATGAACAGTTTTTGGCTTGGATTGATAGTGATCATTAATATGGGTGAGGAAATAGGTTTCTGGGGAGATATGGGAAGTTCAATTTTGTACAGAGTGAGTCTGCAGTGGGCATTCAGATGGAAATGTTCAGAAGTAACATGATTACTATTTAGCTTGTCTGCCTGTGGTGCAATACCACATACTAATGGTAGGACCACAGCAGACAAGCTAAATACTTGTCTCACCAAGTTTTAAAAATTGAAATACAAATTTTTGGCAATTATCTGTGTTCAATTTCATTTTATTAGGTACAAGATCCTTTATGCAAAGACTTTGCTTTGTTCACAGCCACATTCCTGACATTTAGATCAGTACCAGGCATAGAGGGGCATGTAATCAGAACTTACTGAATGAATACCGAATGACTCTTTTCTGTCGCTTAAACCAAAACCTAGGTATCATTCTTATCGCTTCCTTTTCTCTCCTCCCACAGATCCTATCAGTCACCAGTCCTACTGATCTTCCCTCCAAAGTACTTCCTGAACCCATATCCTTCTCTATTTTTACAAATTATGTTCTAGTTCAGGATCTCATTATCCTTTAACTGTGCTAGTACAATAGATTCATACCTGATTTTTCTGCCTCCAGTCTTGCTTCCCTTATATCTAGCCTCTGCACAGCAGCAAAGTACTCTTCTCTAAAATGTGTATTTGGGGAAAGAAAATCATTTGTCACTGAAAAGCCTCCTGTGGCTGCCCAAAGTTCAAGTTCCCAACATGACCTGTAAGACCTAAGATCTATTCACCTTCACCTCATCTCTTATCTTTGTCTCCCACTTTATTTTGCACGAACACCAAACTGCACTCATCTCTGTGCATATACTACATCAGATCATGCTGTTTCTTTTGAATGAAATACTATTTCCATATTTCTTCATCTGGCTGACTGTGCCTCATTCTTTATAATTAGATTTGGATATAAATTCCTGTAGTCTTTCTTCATCCTCCTCCCCCAACTCATTCCTCTCTCCCCCACTCCTTCTTCTTTTTAAAAAAATACTCACTCACCAATATTTATTTTGTGGCTGGTATGTGCCAGGTACTACACTAGGTGTTCAGAGGTGCATAAGGCAGACATGGCTTTTGCTTGCAAACATTCTTGAGTGTTATGCCTTCAACCCCCACATTTGTGCCCTAGTATCTTGTGCTTGCTCAATTTTATCATTACATAATATGAAATTACCAGTTTTATATTCATCTGACTAGCACATAGTGAGCATTTAATAGACGTTTCCTTAACTGAAGTTATTAACTAATTAACTAGCATCTACTACATTTGAAGTTTTTTGTTGTTGTTGTTTTGTTTGTTTGTTTTATTCTTGTGGCACTCCCCTCTCTCTTCCACTATCAACTGAGGATTGGACAATTCTCAAGAAGCCTGGGTCTATGGGTCCCTACCCTGTTCCACCCAGGCAGCTGGAGAAAGGAGAGGAAGGTATTAGCTAGGTACTCAGATATGGAAAGATCATTAAAAGGGGGCTCAGGAGCAAGGGAAGGCTGGGAAGGAAAGAAAAAATGGTGAATTATCATAAAAAAATATAGTTGCAGGAGAGGAAGGAGGATGTAAGAAATAAAATTCCTCTAGCCAGAGGACACGTAACTATAATCCATAAAAATCAAAGCTTAAATTTAACTACTGGTCTCAAATATCTTCGTCCTAACTCAAGGCTTCAGACAATCAATAGAAAAATGGTAGTTGTCCTGAAACCTGAAATCATGTAGGAGAAGGGTTAAAAGCAGAAAAAAAAAAAAGAAGCAGAACCACTGGGTGGAAGCTACAAGGACACAGGTTCCAGTTTAAGGAAGATATCAACAGACAGAGCTGCTCAACAATGGAACTGGTTGCCTTGTTATTGAAGATAAAACAAAGGTATATTTTGAGGGGATATTTTGAGTGAGCTCTTTTAGCATACAGACTGTGGTCCTAATGATGGGCACCTAGGAGCCATTAGTATTTAAATGAATGAGGGATGAATGGATAGAAGAGTGGAAATCAAATTTTAAAAATCCCTTCCAGTTGTATAATTCTATGGCAGCATAAAAGCCCGAGTCACACTTGCCCATTTCTCACCAGTTCCCTAAAAAGGTGATATTTACAGTTAACCAGGGGAAGAAAAATAATGGTTTCATCACAAATAATCATATTTTAAGATGTTCCCAGGACTGCAGCTCTTTTAGTTTAGCAAAGCCTCCTAATCCCATTCTACCTTCTTCTCTAACCTAAAGAGTATGCCAGCCTTTCATAAACACTATTTCTTACTGTATGGCACTGACTTCTTTTTGCTGAAGGGACCATCCAAATAACACATACAATGGTAAGAGTGAGAGAAGGAAATAAAATGAAGTGAAACAGGTATCTGTCACCTTTCAGAGCACAGAATTTAAAATTTTGGGTGGAGCTAGTTGGCCACCTTTTAATGTAGTAGATTTATCCATTACAGGGTTGAAGCACAACCTACTTCAGCATTAGAAACACACTCACACATTAGAAAGAAGTATTTCAATAAATTATTTCTGGGAATTTCTGCCAAGCAGTGAAACTCAATATCATGTTTTCTTTCATGAGGATTAGTGAGATAAAATGCTAACTAAAATGGTGTGGGCTCTTTAAAGGAAATTAACATTTTTAGAGGCCTAAGAAAACAATACAGTAATATTTGTAGCACGGGAAAACCCCTTCTTCTTTGTGGATTTCTAAAAAAATGTTAAAAACCAGAGTTGCAAATTATCATTTCACAGGATGATCATTTTACAGAATGTAACTTATGCATCCCATTTCCCTTTCACATATTTAAGTGATATAAATACATATTCAGAGGATGGCTGGAGAGGTCCTGTGGCAGCTTCCATAATGAGTGTCCAAAATACAGTCAGTTTAAATAAAAATTCACAACCATATTTTGTATAGAATGTAAATGGAAAAAGGTTTTATTGGACTGAAAAACACTAAGGTAACATTTTTCTGTGCTATTTAGTTATGACCTCTATCACATACACTTTTTAAGTGATGGTGATGATTTTTCTTTAACACATAGTAGGAGCTCAATAAATGCTTTCTAACAGATAAATTGTAATGTCCAAGCTATCTTTCCCATTACCTTTTAATCAAAGTCACAGTTGGACACCGAGTGCTACTGTTGCCATGGAAAAGATACTGTCTTTTAACATTGTTCAGACCCACAAAGACACACACAAGTACATCCCATACCTAAACATGTTCAATCTTATCTGTCCCTCTTCTGTTTCTATAGCACTCTATGTGCTATCTCTGCTTTTATTAGTTTGCCATTATAATTAATTAATCTATCACCTTTGACTCTGAGCACCTTGGTATAGATACATTGTTATTCATCTTTGTTACTTAGTATTAAGCACAATACCTGGTTCATAGAAGGTGCTCTAGCTCAATGAGTTAAAGGACCTTCAGGATCAGTCTTAGTAAATGTACTCAACTATATAGTTGGCAATGAAGAAAATCTGTTGTCAACCTGTCAATTCTAAGTAAAACTCATTTCAACCAATCCACCTGAATTCTGTCTGTTGAAACATGAAACTTATAGACCAAGAAGGAGCACATTAACAATAAACTCGCATGAAAAGTTCCTACCTTCAAGAATTTACTGAGATTTTATTCATGCTACATTAACTTATCTATTCATTGCTATGGCAGATAAAAAAGAATAGGAAATGGGCAGGCAGGTGGAAGACAGGCCTCCTATTCACTGAAAAGCTTGGCAAACAGGCTTACCTCTTCGGACTGCTCCCGGGTTTGTGCAGGTGAAGCTCTTCTGCCCACTGTAAGTCGATGGCAGGGATAAGACAGCCCTGATTCAGCAAGACACATCTGCAAAAAGAAGAATCCACCATTTGTAAACAAAATGAGGCCATGTCTCACAAAAGCCCCTTTTGATATTTTCTAGATTTCTTTTTTTTAAAAAGATTTTATTCATTTGAGAGAGAGAGAGAGAGAGCGCACGCACACTCGCACATGAGCAGGGGGAGGGGCAGAAGAAGGAGAAGCAGACTCCCCACTGAGCAGGGAGCCAGCCCGATGCAGGGCTCTATCCCAGGATGCTGGGATCATGACCTGAGCCGAAGGCAGACACTAAATGGACTGAGCCACCCAGGTGCCCCAATATTTTCTAGATTTCTGAAGTTAGATTAGAAAGCTCACTCTACGCTAATTTGGATGCCTTTTATTTCTTTTTGTTTCTGATTGCTGAGGCTAGGACTTCAAGCACTATGTTGAACAACAGTGGTAAGAGTGGGCATCCCTCTTGTGTTCCTGATCTTAAGGGAAAAGCGCTCAGCTTTTCCCCAATGATGATGAGATTCACTGTGGGCTTTTCAAAGATGGCTTTAATGATATTGAGGAACGTTCCCTCTATCCCTACACTCTGAAGAGTTTTAATCAGGAATGGTTGCTGTATTTTGTCAAATGCTTTTTCTGCATCAATTGAGAGGATCATATGGTTGTCTTTTCTTTTATTGATGTGCTCTATCACGTTGATTGATTTGAAAATGTTGAACCACGCTTGCATCCCAGGTATAAAACCCACTTGGTTGTGGTGAATAATCCTTTTAATGTACTGCTGGATCCCATTAGTTAGGATCTTGTTGAGTATTTTGGCATCCATGTTCATCAAGGATGTTGGTCTGTAATTCTCCTTTTGGGGCCAGGGTAATGCTGGCCTCATAGAAGGAGTTTGGAACCTTTCCGTTTCTTTTTTTGGAACAGCTTCAGTAGAATAGGTATTATTTCTTTTTTAAATGTTTGGTAGAATTTGAGAGGTTTTTGATTATTGCTTCAATTTCGTTACTGGTTATTGGTCTATTCAGATTGTCTATTTCTTCCTGTTTCAGTCTTGGTGGTTTGTAAGTTTCCAGGAAGGCATCCATTTCTTCCAGGGCTTAATTTGTTGGCATACAGTTGCTGGTAATGATTTCTAATAATTGTTTCTATTTCCTTGGTGTTGGTCATGATCTCTCCCCTTTCATTCATGATTTTATTAATTTGGGTCCTTTCTCTTTTCTTTTGGGTAAGTTTGGCCAGTGGTTTATAGATCTTATTAATTCTTTCAAAGAACCAGCTTCTAGTTTCATTGATCTGTTCTACTGTTTTTCTGGTTTCTATTTCATTGATCTCTGCTCTAATCTTTATCACAGTAGCCCAGGTATTACATTCCCAGGAAGGCTTTGAAAGTTTGAAATTCTTCCATATATAGCACGTTACAAGAGTCAAAGCTATTTTTTTGTTTGTTTGTTTAAACAACAGAAATTTATTTTCTCACAGTCCTGGAGGTTGAAAGTCTCAGATCAAGATGTCGGCAGGGTTGGTTTCTTTTTTTTTTTTTTCTCTAATCTGCTGGTTTTTTAATTACTTTTTTTTTTAAACATTTTATTTATTTGAGAGAGAGCGAGAGAGAGAGTGAATGAGCAGGAGTGGGGGGGAGGGGCAAAGGAGAGGGAGAGGCCGACTCCTGAGATCATGACCTAAGCTGAAGGCAGACACTTAACCAACTGAGCCACCCAGGCACCCCTCTTTTATTAAGTTTTAATTTATATTTATTTTTTTCTAGCTAGAAACATTTTATTTAAATGTGCCAAATAAAAACCCACATTTTCAGACCACCAGGATGTTAATACATTTAACAAAAATTTATATTATCTTATTGCTGTGAATTTACAGTTATAATCCAGATCCATTTTGACTGGATGATTGAAATAACCTTCCTAAGTTACGCTTTACAGACATCACAAATCCCTTATAATAATGTAAACGAAATAACTCTTCCCTAAAAGGTGAACTTGAGAACTTCACTCTTTCAGGTCTTGCACTTCTTTGTGGACTTCCTGATGGGGAATGACTTCTTTTTGGAGATGGGATATTTGAACTTTGGCTGCTTCTTAGTAATGAAACAGACCTGGATCTTGACCTTGACCTCGACGGGCATCTTGAACCTTTTATAGAACCAGACCTAGATCTTCTGGGTGAAGCGGATCTTGAAAGAGACACAGATCTTGATGGTTGAGGAGATGCTGATCTTGACCTCCTGCTCCTGCTACATGAGCAAGAGTATCGCCTGCCTCTGGATCTTAAATGTGATCTACACTGTGACCTGCTTCTCCTCTGCTGGCTGTAATGATGACAATCATAAGCATAATGTCCCTTTTCGCCACACTCATAGCATTTATCATTGGGATCAAAGGAACGTTGGGCAGGTGGTCTATCAAAACCAGATCTCCAAAGCATGCCTGTTGATAATTCAACTCTCACTCAGGAACCACAAATCACTCTCCCATCCAGGCCTCAAACTGCATCTTCTGCATGTCTAGGATCTTCAGGTTCCACAAAGGCAAATCCTAGAGGACTTTTCACAATCCACACAGTTCTTAAGGGACCATAATAACTAAAAGCCCTTTCTAACTCTCCTCTGCTGACACTGGTCCCCAGATTACCAACACACACCTTGGTTTTCTCCTCCATACCACCTGTAAGGTGATACGATGCCTGGCCTGCTTGCAGTGCCCAGGGAGTAATACAAAAGCTGCAACACCGACTCAGTCATCAATGGTCCCAGCGGTCTTAAGTTTTTATTTTAATTCCAGCATAGTCAACATATACAGTGTTATATTAGTTTTAGGTGTACAACAAAGTGATTCAATAACTCCATACATCACCCAGTGCTTATCACAGTAGGTGCACTCCTTAATCCCCATCACCTATTTCACCCATCCCCCCCATCCACCTCCATCTGATAACCATCAGTTTGTTCCCTATCATTAAGAGTCTGTTTCTTGGTTTGTCTATTTTTTCTTCCTACGCCCATTTGTTTCTTAAATTCCACATGTGAGTGAAATCATATGGTATGTCTTTCTCTGCCTGACTTATTTCACTTAGCATTATACTTTGTAGCTCCATCCATGTCAGTGCAAATGGCAAGATTTCATTTTTTTTATGGCTGAATAATAGTTCATTGTATATATATGCCACCTCTTCTTTATCCATTCATCAGTCAATGGACACTTGGGCTGCTTCCATAATTTGGCTATTGTAAATAATGCTGCTATAAACATTGGGGTGCATGTATCCCTTTGAATTAGTATTTTTGTATTCTTTGGCTAAATACCCAGTAGGGCAATTGCTGGATCCCAGGGTAGTTCTATTTTTAACTTTTTGAGGAAACTTCATATTGTTTTCCAGACTGGCTGCACAAACTGCACAGACAGTTTGCATTCCCACCAACAGTGTAAGAGGGTTCCCCTTTCTCCACATCCTCACCAACACTTGTTGTTTCTTTGTTTTAGATTTTAGCTATTCTGACAGGTGTGAGATGATATCTCATTGTAGTTTTCATTTGCATTTCCCTGATGATGAGTTGATGTTGAGCATCTTTTCATGTGTCTGTCAACAATTTGCATGTCTTCTTTGGAGAAATGTCTGTTCATGTCTTCTGCCCATTTTTTTAATTGGATTATTTGTTTTTGGGGTGTTGAGTTGTTTTAAGTTCCTTATACATTTTGGATGCTAATCTTTTATTGGATACATCATTTGCAAATATCTTCTCCCCTTCAGTAGGTTGCCTTTTAATTTGGTTGATTATTTCCTTTGCTGTGCAGAAGCTTTTTATTTTGATGTAGTCCCGAAGTTTATTTTTAGTCAAGGCTATTTTTCATAAGCAAAAGACTAGTGCTCCAGGAAACCGTAATAGGCCTAAAATAAAGCTAATCATATATATATATATATATCTCTACACCCCCACCCACCACCAGTGTGTCTGTTACTTTTCCAATTAGAATAATACTTCAGTTTACTAATTCCCAGGGAAACACTCTATAAATCTTTTCTGGAGGGTATACTGCAATAGTGTTTGCTGAAGGCATTAAAAAGAAAAGTTTCTACAGATGGTAACAATATCATTTATGTTTTAATCATATTAATCCACAATATCAGATTGTTATAGCTTAGGAATCTACAATATATGTAAAGCACATAGCACAGTAACTGGCACACAAACATTCAGTGAACTCAGTTAATTTTTATTACCATTATGATATATTACCTAAAGAATCTGCCTAGTTTAGCCAACACAATTAAAGCCAAATATATTTACTCCTACTGAAGTTTTTAGTGGGTCAGATATTAAATAACTAATTTGAGGTTTAAATTAAATTTGGGAAAATGTGAGCAAATATGAGTACATGTCACTTTTGTATATTTAGAGGAATTAAAACAATATTAAATAGCCAAAAGAGGGTGTTTTTCTTTGGTGTTCATGAAATGACACATTTGTGTATTTAATGTAATGATGATATCATGTTTCTTTTATTATTATTAGAAATAAAATAGAGTCTCCATTAGCACACTGAGAACACTTTTGGTAACTTTTGGGGAGGTGTGAATTACACTGATATATGAGGAAACCCAAATATCTGTAAATTTATAGAGACCAACCACGGACACAATAGTGGGTTGGTTATAACTACAATTCAAACGTGTTATAATCAAGCTAATTATCTGAAGACAAATACTGAATGAAAAAGGCAAATGTCACATGAATACACAGGTATTTTCAATCATGTGAGGTGTGTGCTGTCATATAGATTATACTGATAAAAATCATTTGTATTTGATTATTTTTTCTTTAGTCTGGTTAGAGGTTTTTAAATTTTTTTTTAAATTGGGGTATAATCTTTGCCACTTTAATCATTTTATTTTATTTATGTTTTAAAGTAATAATGTCCATGTCCAATGTGGGGCTCTAACTCACCACCCTGCAATCAAGAGTCTCATGTGCTACTGACTAAGCCAGCCAGGTGCCCCGTGGTTAGAGAGAGGTTAGTTAGTTAGTTTTGGCATTTAGATGTTTTGGCATTGTCTCTTACAAATGCTAGAAAACCTGATTAATAATAATAATTTTTAAAAGTAAAACTGTATCAATTCTGTCATTCTATTCAGTCATATTCATCAACATTTGTCACAATTGGCTCAATTTATTTTATTTCAGGATAAACAAAAGCAAAGCTAATTTGTATAAGAAGCACAGGCTAAATTTCAAGTCACGTTACTTTCACAATATTTTTCATTACAAAAAAAAAGTCCTCCTCCCCCACCCTAAAATCCTCTGGTAATGAAATAATAATGATGGTAAATGTCACTGACAATCAGAAGCAGTGTAGTATAATGGAAAGAGACTTGGACTGGGAGCCAGAAAAATCTCAATTCAAGTATTTCCCAGCCTCCTGCACTTGGGGAAGTCATTTCTCTATTCTACTCCAGAATTTTCCATTTATTGAGGTGAATAATCCCTGCCTTAACTACCTCAATTGACTTTTGAAAGGGTTAAATGTATTAAGGTAAGTAAAAGCTGGCTTTGAAACTACTGAATAAGCAGAAGACCTGTTATCATTCCAATGATCATCATTTTTAGGACCTGGAGAAAAGAGATGATGATTAGATTCTACTGTGACTACCTTTGCATAACAGCCTAATCATGTATAAATTAAAAGACATACTTTAGGAGAAGCTGGAGGAAAGTGCTCATTAAAAGTACACAGTACTGGGCACCTGGGTGGCTCAGTCGTTAAGCGTGGGCCTTCAGCTCAGGTCATGATCCCGGGGTCCTGGGATTGAGCCCCACATCGGGCTCCCTGCTCCGCGGGGAGCCTGCTTCTCCCTCTCCCTCGCTCCCCTTGCTTGTGTTCCTGCTCTCGCTCTCTGTCAAATAAGTAAATAAAATCTTAAAAAAAAAAAAAGTACACAGTACTACAGATGGGCTGGCTCCTCAATGGGCTTCTCTCCACAGTTTTCAACATTAACCTTCCCCATAGCTACTAATAATTCCTGAAGAGGAGAGCGGCGAGCACTTTCTCCTTAGCCTACAGCTGACCAAGTGGGCCTCTGCATCACTCTATTTCAGATCCTACTAATCACAATACACTGGGAAGTTAAAGGGTCAGGAATTTCTGAGTTACTATACGTCCAGTGTGGATTAAATAGAAGTGTGTCCTAAAGGAACATATATACCAGTTAGAAAGACAAAAGATGCACATAGGAACAGGCACAGAAAAAGGAATACAAGGGAGGAAAGATGGGGCAGTCTCTGTAGGGCTAGCAACCCCTTGGAAGGGACAATAGTTACTCAGTGATTTCAAGAATTTAGGGCTAAAGTAAATGTTTGATGGGACTCATAACCTAAATTCACATAAAAGATGTGAAGTCAGAAGGCTGAGTTGTCCAATGACTATGGACAAAATCACTTAGAATTTCTGTATTTCAGTTTTCTTATTTAGAGAATGGTGTAATAGAACCCGTCCTTAATTTACAAAATAGGGTAATCAATCTGTTCTCTCTCACAGAGTTGGTATGAAGATCCAGTAAGATTGAGATAATGTATGTGAAACCAAATGATTATACAATTGTAAAGGATTGATATTATTATCATTGGGGTATTTATTTTGCAAGGAATTGGAAAAAAAGATTAGGGCTGCAGGTTTGTTTGACTTTATAGTTGAAGGGGGTTACCTTAAAAAATTTAAATTTGCATACATTATATTAGTTAATTAACCTATACATAATGGTACTCTCTCAGTCACAAGATAGCTTTAACCTAATATAATGAAGAACTGTGACTCATTTGCAAAATCTATTTCAAGGCTTTATTCAGTTTTTTTCCTGGCCATGTTAGACTGTAATTCTCTGACTTTCCATTACTGCAGATACAGAGGTTCAAAACAGAGTCACAAATTCAAAATGAAGTCATGGCAAAATTCCTTTATTATTTAATTCTATACCTTTAAATAAAGCATATCTGAGAGTATAATCTTCTGAATGCTTAGGGATGGAGAAAGGTTGAAGTAAAAGAATTTTACTCTCACTGACTATTATATGTATTAAATGGGTCATGGGTTTAATTAAATTAAACTATTATATATGTAAATGGGTTATGTTGTTGAAAGGCAACATAGAAAGTCTTCGTAATACATGTTTACGAAGACTTTCTTTTCTTTTTTTTTTTTTACGAAGACTTTCTTTTCTTAAAGAGTAATTTTAGGTTTACAACAAAATTAAGAAGAAAATACAGAGATTTCTCCTATACTCCCTGTCCTCAAACAGGCATAGTCTCTCCCATTATTAACATCATTCACCAGAATGGTGTTTTTTACCAAGGATAAACCTACATTGACACATTGTAATTACTCAAAGTCCATAGTTTACAATAGGGTTCACTCTTGGTGTTGTACATTTTATATGTTTGGAAAAAGGTATAATGGCATTTATCCATTGTATAATGTCATACAGAGTATTTTCACCACTCTAAAAATCCTCCATGCTCTGACTATTCATCTCCACCTCCCCTCACTGCCCTTGGCAACCACTGGTCTTTTTCCTGTCTCCATAGTTTTTTCTTTTCCAGAAGGTCATTCCAAATTGGTCTCTTTCAATTAGTAATATGCATTTAAAGTTCATCCATGTCTTTTCATGGCTTAAAATCTCATTTCCTCTTAGTATTGAATGATATTCCATTGTCTGGATGTACCACAGTTTGCTTATCCATTCGCCTACTGAAGGATGTCTTGGTTGCTTCCAGGTTACAGCAATTATGAATAAAGCAGCTATAAACATCTGTGTGTCGGTTTCTGTATGGAACTAAATTTACAACTCCTTTGGGTAAATAGCAAGAAGCACATTCTAGGTCACATGGTAAGAGTATGTTTAGTTTTCT